CACATTGTTTGAGATGCTGGTGATATCTACAGGGAACAAACCAGACAAAAGCCTCCATCTTTCCAAGGATTATGTTATAGTCAGGGGAGAAAGACAATAAAAATAATCTGTAAATAGTACAGGTATTAAGTGTTTAGACAAACATGGAGGCCCTAGGGTTAGGGGTATAGGAGTTGCAGTGTTAAATAGAGTCATAACCTTGAGCAAGTCACTTTTCTATAAAATAAAGAAATTCAACTAGATGATCTCAAAGAACCTATCAGCACTATGAGTCTGCTTTAAAGACCAAGCAGCCATGGCCAGCTCAGCAATTAGAGCATCGGCCCATGGACCAAAGTGTCACAGGTTTGATTCCCAGTCAAGGGCACATACCTGGATTGCAGATTCGATCCTCAGCCCTGGTTGGGGTCATTCAGGAGGCAACCAGTCGATGTCTCTCTCTCACATGGATGTTTCTCTCTCTCTCCCTCCCTCCCTTCCACTCCATCTAAAAAAAAAAAAAAAAGGTAAAAAAATAGTAATAAAAATAAAGACCAAGCATTATCATATCAAGCTGTGGTACTGCTGGGTCAGCATCTCATTGGGTGTTTACAGTCACCGTAGCAGAAAAGATTGGATATTAAAACTCATAGAATTACTGTGTAAGAAAAGCTTCTGTGAGTTTAAATTATTTGTAATACCCACAAAATAATAAAGCATTTATGTTAAATGTTAAAGAAAAACCTAATGGTCTTATTTTTAATCTAATGTGTTACCTCAATCCAATATCAAGTAGAAAGTATTTGATTTAAGGGTAAAAAAAACCTCTGTATAAAGGTACCAATGACTTTTAAGCAGGTGTTAGTGCACCTGTGTGAGAAATTTGCAGCAATGTGCACATTGCATTTCTGCCCTGCATCCTGTGTAAATAGAGACCCGTGACTTGATGTTGAAATGACCTTTCAGACAGTATTTCATTGCCACATGCCTGAGCTTGTATCTGAGAATAATTACAAGCCTGACTTACAAATCTTGATATACAGTGTTTATGTTAATTATAAATGTCTGAAAGTTGCCTGAAACTTTTTCTTCATAGCTTTTTATCAAAGACAGACTGGAGTTTGGGAGGAGGGTTGTGGCTTGTGGTCCTAAATCTTTGATTTCCAATCTTTAATTTTTGGAATGAAATTTAAAATCTGCTTTTCCATTTGCACAAACTTGGTGCTATATTTTTATGTTCTTTATTTCAAATAAGAAGCTGTTTGGAATCATAGTCTTTGATATCTTAAAAATATTTAATTCTTAAAGCCTTGAGCTAAAAATTTCAAGCTGACCACAGATCCTTAATATAAAGATATTCCCACTGACCTCGAGAAAAAGCTTAAAATACTATAATTAAAATTGAGAAGTTCCTATCACAAAAAGGGATACTCTTCCAAGATTGTTTCTAAATCAGATCTCAGAATTTTTTTTTCCATGATGGCTAGCCCAGTCCTCAGAAGCTAACCCTAGGCCTGCCAATAACATACATTTAATTTTCATCTCTAAATTCAAAGGCCAATATAAGAAAATGCTTTGTGTCCATTCTTGAAGAAAAGACTGATCCCTATTTTACTGTCTAGACAAGCTGTGGAATAGGCTCCTGTATGTCAGAGAGATGAGTGATGAGTATTCACAAGTTTCTCTCATGTCTGATCTCTGAAATGTCTCATTTATTACCCTTGATTAGATAAGGTCTCAAGTCCCACCTTAACTGTGGCCTTCAACAGTTCCACCAGGCTCTGGCTCACTCTGAGGTCCCCTTGGTTTAATTCTGAAGCCTCCCTTCCCTCCACCCCGCCTACCCTAATTGTCATGCACCATCTGCTCTTTCTTGCTAAGTCAGTCTCCTGCTTTACTGCCCAGGGCCAAACTGTTATGCAGATTTACCACCAATGAATAAAAGTGCTCCTTTGTACATCCATTTTATTCTTAAGAGTATATTTAGACATTGATACAAATAAAATTTTATCTAATTTGTACCGTCTTCAGGAAATTAGATACACTATACATATAGACCATGTAATGTAAGCTTTTGACATTTTAAAGATATAAAAATCGTTTGGTAACATTTTACTCAGATCTTTTTCAGGAAAAGTCTGAGATTAGGTCAGTCTGTACCGTCTGCATTGCTACTACTCTAAAAACCACTGAGGAAAAGTGATGTAGAAACTCAGAACACCATGTTCCCTCATCATTCCTTAACCTTCAACACTCACCCCACCTCCACAGCTGGAAAAAATACTGTGATATGCAACCAGATTCACCCTTGGGTGTCGAAATGAATATAATTTTGCCCTGATGCCTTCCCCTAGCTCCATCCACAAGCTCACACACATATGCCCACAAAATGGGACAGTGGGTAGGAGAGATTGTGGAGAAGTCCTGCTGTCATTCTCCCCCATATTACCTTTCTGCCACAGAACTGAGGACAAAGATTGCTTGTCACTGGTAGTTAGCAGCCTGAGAACTTTTGATATGTGTAGTATATGTAAGAATAAAGAGGAATGGCAGGGATCACAGGCACTCTCCAGATAAGTGTTAACTTTGTTGTGTGTGTTTTTAAGTTGAAAAACTATCCTAGTTTTTTAAGATATTACTATTGCCATTGAGGTTTTTGGAACTTACTAAGGAAATAGAATTCTCAGAGACTGTCACTACAAAGATTCACTTTCTTTATCCTGAAGTGATCCTTTCTCATTTTGAGACTAAATATAACTGTAAATGTGGCTCATGTGCACTTACTTACTTTTCAGTGTCTTGTAATTGGAACTTATAAAACTGGAATAAAGTTTTTGTTTTTGTTTTTTTGGAATAAGTGTTTTAAATAGGTTGAAATGGCTCCTTTTGTTTGAAATAAAATGGGTACCTTTATTTCTTTAATTATATTATTTTTCCCTCCACTTCTTTATTAATGTTCAGAAGTCAGTGAAATCAGAATTCTCTGACTTCTCTTTTAAGGGACTGACCTATTTCTATTTCTAATCCATAGTTTCTCAACCCTGGCCCTACTGACATTTTAGACTAGGTGATTCTTTTTTGTGCGGCTGTCCTGATGTATATATAGTTAGAGACAGAATAAATTAAGACTTACTCACAAAGGTCCAGATTTTTAGAAATAGGAGAAATTTGGGGAAACGAGTAATTTTAGGGCCCAAACATGATATAATTTATAGAGTAGATAATAAATGTAGAGGTTTATTATGCTAGGAATGGGAACTAATTTGAAATAGAAAGTCAAAGATAGTTTAAATTCATGGATGGTGGAGGCTCTGTGGAGTATTACCTAATATTCAACATCTTTGGTGAAATTTGGTCTTCCAGGCTCTACATGATTCTTCTGAAACTCCTTTGAAAAGATGTTTTTCTTTGACTTCTTATTTTTTATCCTTGTTCCTTTTTTAAACAAACATTTATTGCATGTCTACTATGTGCCATACACTGCAAATTGTCTCCCTTCTTACCTTTCTTTACTTTTTTAGAGATGGGGTGTGAATTGGAATTGTGGCTCCAAATACTTTTCTGTAAGTCAAAAGTTAGGAGTCTTTTAGAGTGAGTAAGTCAGAGTTGCAGGGTGTTTTGGAGGGCCAAGCAGAAGTCACACATACTTACACTTGCTTACTAGCATATTTATGAGTGTGTGCTCACACACACACACACACACACACACACACGGCATCTTCCAATCATAGAAAGAACAGGTTTGGGCGGAAGAATGAGAATTATAAAACACTTTTCCCTCCAACTGGCTACTAAATTACTAAGACTATGTATTTGGGGGCTGGAGAGCAGGATGTCATATTTAACACTGATGCCAATGAATCTTTTTTGTAATTATCACCAATGGTGGCCCCTGAAGACCCAAAAGAATAAGGTCTCAGGAGCTAGAAAGGGTGGAGCAGTTGAAACACAGTGAGAATGTTCCAGTTAATTTGTTCATAGATGTTTATTGAGATTCTACTTTATGCCAGGAATATGAGCCCAGTGCAGTGGCTCAGTCACCTAGAACAACCCTGTCCCTTCCCTCATCTAGTGGAGAAACCAGACTTTGAGCAAGAGCATAGGAAACATACTCCTGTTTCACAGTGTTGCCTGAGGCTCAGCCTTGGACTGCCCTGCAAAATCAATCTCAGTAGGCTGCTAACCCTGTTCTATAAGCATAAGGATGAATAAGGGTTGCATTTTGATGTGAATGTAACTAGAGCATTCACCTTATACTGCTAATTAGTCTTCAAAAATATTAATCAAAGTAGCAAGATTTAAATTAAATGTGTATATAATAAGAGAACAAAAGATTAGGATATGGACTCTATTTTAGAGAGTATTTAAATATGTAGAAGCTATTCAGCAGGGGGGTCATGTTAGCCAGAGAGAACCTGTGTGGGTCAAAAGAGGACTAACTTTTTGGCCATTTCACTAATAATTCTTTTTTTTTTTTTTTATCCTCACCCGAGGATATTTTTCCATTTTTTGTACAGATAGAGTGGGAGGGAGAGAGAGGAAGGGAGAGAGAGACAGAAACATCGATGTGAAGGGACACATCGAGTGGCTGCCACCCGCACGACCAACCAGGGCTGGGGACAAACTGCAACCGAAGTACATGCCCTTAGCGGGAACCGAACCCGGGTCTCTCCGGACCGCAGGCCGACGCTCTAACCGCTGAGCCAAACCGGCCAGGGCCACTAATAATTCTTTCATGTGGACTGTAATCATTTGTTTATCTGCAATGAAGACAGTTCCTCTCAAACTAATTACTGAGAAGTGATTACTGGCACTTTAGGGTAAAAAGTAGACATGAGAATGTAATGAGTTATAGACATGCTTGCCAGATCCCTTGGATGATTTGCTAATTTAAATGCTGTAAATAAACGCACAATAGGGTTTGGGTATAAAATGAACATTACTTGAAAGAAAAAAAGTGAGCTGTCAGATCATAGAAAATTTATAATTTGAGGTGTTTTTCTCTTTTTCCCTCCTTTTAGCTTGTCAAAATTCCCAGAAATGATCCTGTCAACGAAGTGCATACATTTAACTTCTATTTGTCAAATGTGGGTAAAGACAACCCTCAGGGCAGCTTTGACTGTATTCAGCAAAGGTTCTCCAGGTAAGTTCATTTCAAGGTATACTAAAGGGAAAATCATTTTTCTTTGAGGGTTTTTCAATTGAACAATAAAATACACAGTAGTCATTTATACATATTTACTTAACTAAATGGCAAAACTCATTTATTTATTTGAGAAATATTGAGCACCTACTCTGTGCTAGAAATTATATTTGTCACTGTGGGATACAATAACAAAAATTTTAACATTCTTGCTCTCAAGGGATTTTTAAAGTACAGATTTTTTTTTTTTTTTTTTTTTTTTTACATATAGAACATGGTTTATTTGATAAGTTTATTTGACAAGACAAGTTTGGGGATTTAAAAAAAGGTTTTATTCACTGTATTTAAATAAGAGTGCCTTCTACAGTACACTCAAGGCTTGCATTCAAGATTAAAGGAGGGGAAAAAAATCCTATATATCTTGTATATTCCCTTCTTATTCCCTGTGCAAGCCTTGTTTTAAGGTAGATTTTTAAAATTCTTTATTCCGCAGCAGAATGGAAACAAGAAATTAACCCCACTAATAGCAGTCATTCCTGATTTTTTTAAAAATGAAGACAAGAATACACACCCACATCCCAGGGTACCAGGGAACTCTTATCTACTTAGATTCTCTGTCAACAATGAGCTACTTGTTTCACTCTTTGCTGTGGTTGTTTCTGATTAAAGAATGGGCCCCTTGAGTAGGGGGAGTTCGTTCTGCCTGTGGATAAAGACAAGGCCTTAGAGCCCCCAACCTCCCAGGAGACACTGATATTGCCCAAAGTGCCCTAGGCCATCCATCCCTCTCTCTCCTCTGTGCTACACTTGAAACTATCTGAGTGCTTGCTGTGCTCGGGAGAAAGACGAAAGGCAAGTTGTGTTTCAAGTGAGCACAGTAGGCAGAGATAAAATAAGACACATCACTGAGAGTTCTAAATTTCTCCTCTCATTTAACTTTTAATCTACCTTTTTCCCCTGAATATATGTTAGTTCTGCTTTCTAAAAATTACCCACCTCCAAACATATTATTATAGATTGCATATGTTATACATTGTATAGACCTTTCTGCACTTATTCACTGTGATGGCTACTGGTCACATGTGGCTATTTACATCTTGATTGATAAAAATGAAATGATATTAAAAATTCAATTCTTCACATTATAGGCTCAATAGCCAGGTGTCTAATTGCTATCATAGTGGAAAGCACAGATACTAATCATTTTTACCATTGCAGAAAGTTCTATGGGACAGTATTACACTCTATAATAGAATCACCAAGTATAAGGGTCCTTGGTAATTGTGTAGTTCAACCCCATCTTTTCACAGGTGACTTACCCACAGTTACAGAGCTGGTTAGTTTAGTGACTGGGCTGAATGAAAACTGGGTTCTCCCAACTTCCAGTCCTGTGTTCATAATGTACAACAGGGCACACCAATTTATTTCTTTTTTGTTGTTATTGTTAATCCTCACTTGAGGATATTTTTTCCATTGATTTTTAGAGAGAAGGAGGAAGTGGGTGGAGAGAGAGAGAGAGAAACATCGATATGAGAGAGACACACTGATTGGTCGCCTCCTGCATGCACCCAACCAGGGCCAGTGATTGAACTTGCAACCCAGGTAGGTACCCTTGATCAGGAATCAAACCTAAGACCCTTCAGTGTGTGGACTGATGCTCTAACCACTGATCCACACTGGCCAGGGCGGGCACACCAATTTCTAATTATGGTACATTCACCTAGAATGCTTGTCTTTAGATAATTATTTTATTATAATGATATCATTTTGACATCAAATTGAACTATGTCCCATAGGAATTTTATTAAGGAACTTAATTCCCTCTTCAAAACTAGTCATGTCATCATAGGTAATATGGTTTCTCCCTTACATCACAAATACTCTGTGTTTATTTCTACCTTGCTTGTTTGGAGAAGGATTTAAGGTTACTTAAAACTATATATGATGCAGTAAGAGAAAAGAAATAATTATTGTGAGAAAATTAGGACAAATGCAGTAGTATGATCCAAGTGTGCTTTATAAAAAGTATGATCCAAAGTATGGTTCAAAGTGCTTTATAAAATGATGTGATATGGGTATAAATTGAAATTTGCCACTAAAAAAACAAAAGCACTCAAACTTGCAGTTCTCAACCTGGCAATCAAACCTTTTCATAGTCTGTATTCACCTATTCTATTTGATTGAATTTTTATTTTTCCCACGAATCCTGTCTTTCATGCAATTGTGTAAGTTCTTCAAAGGCAGGGACTTTCTTATGCCCTTTTTTATTCTTACAATACTGGTGGAGCTAAAATTAAATATTCAATAAATAGATGTCCAAAAATTACATATTAATTAGTCTCCTATTTTTTTTTTTTTTTCATAAATCTCCTTAAGCCACCCTTTTACGTAAAGTGGAAGAAATCCCAGGTGGAAATTACCTTTAGAAAATTCCTTAAATCTGCCCATTCACAGACTTACTGAAAAGATTTAGTTTGGGACATACAGCCCTGTACAGTAATGTGCACTCAAGTGTGGGAAACAGTGAACTAGGATAGAGAAAGATTACTGTGTAGGAATGTTTTTACACATATGTCAAGGTATTTGAACTTTTAACATAACTCAGTTGAAAAGGGATGAGTGGAGAATTCTATAATACTTTCTTGCCTACAGGGTTTAGCTGTTTAGTTTTCATGGAAAGATGTGTTTCTTGATCTTGAATGTGTAAACTAAAACTTCATCATGATTGGCAATAGGTTCAGCTTATTCAGCTTATTCTCACTACGTAAATTACTTAACTGCTGCCAGACCTTCCATACTGCAGCCTTTCTGTGCTCAGCCACAATCTTCTATTACCACCTTTTCTTCTCCATCCCAATTCCCCTGAGGTTAAACCTCTACCCTCCCTTTCTCCTTCCTCTCCTTTTATTGTTTTTTTCAGCATTCATACGTGCTCAGGTGAGTCTCATTAAAAAAAAGAAAATAAAGACAACCTCCTTTGCAGTCACTTCTGGAGCCAAACCCTGGCTTTAGTAGCCACCATTCCACTGAAACTGCTCCCCTGTGGCATCCTTAACTGCCTTGCCCTAAATCCAGTGAATGTTTATTAGTTTTTTTTCATTCTAGGCTTGTTGCCAGCATTTCACACTGTTGACCACTGAGTCTTGAAGCATTCTATTCCAGTGTCTTCCATGGCATACTGCTTTTCTGATTTCCTTCTACATCTTTGGCTATGCCCTTCCAGTCTCCTGTGGTATTCTTTCCATCTTCTTATTGCCTATTTTAAATATTAGTATTCTTCACAGTTGGTTCCCTCCTGAGATGTCTCCTCATTTTTTTTAAAGCCACGATATCTAACATTGAACTTATTTTCTTTCTTCCAACCCTACCCCAGTGTCTCAATAAATGGCAGCTCCACACACCTCATAACCTTGGCATGATCTTTAATTTCTGTTTCCCACACTCTCCCTCTATGGCTGATGACTGACCAAATCCTATCAATTCTGCCTCCTCACTATCTCTGGAATCTGTTTACTACTCTGCATTACTACCCTGCCCTACACTGGTTCAAGTCATCCCTTCTTGCCTATAATTATTCAGTAGCCTCCTAACTGCTCTCCTGTCTTCTTCCTCCCAATCTGTTCTTTATCTAGATTGATCTTTCTACAGTACAAATGAGATATTTTCTCTCCCCTATTTTCAGCTTCTGTTATTCTTGGGATAAAGTCCAAAATCCATACCATGACCTCCAAAGCCCTGTGTATTGTACTTCTAATGCCCTCTTCAGCCTCATTTCTAATATTCTTTATAACTCTCTCACGTAACCGAAAAGCTCTTCCTTGCTCCCCCTGAGTCTGCACAGGTTGGTTATCTTCTTAGAACACTTCTGTCCTTCTTCTCCCTTGTTTTGTCATCCCTCTAGGTCGCTCTGACATCACTTCCTCTGGGCAGCCTTTCCCACAAGTCCAGGTGAAGGACTTTCCTGAGGGTTCCCTGCCCCTGGAATTAATCACATTTCTGTCATAATTTCCAGTTTGCTCATCCTTGTCACAGCCTGTGTACCTCACACACTGCCCAATAAATATTTATGAGATGACTGAACTGATATCTTGAAAAAATAGTATTTGTGCAGTTATTAGCAATTTACAAAAATTTTATCAACCCTTATTTTTAGCATCATAACAAAGCTATTTTCAAATAAGTTTGGAAACTGGGTATCAGAGCTACAGTGGCATTTTTATTACTTTCATATTCCAATCTGTTTTAAGGCCATAGTAATTATTTCTGCCAAAATATCTTGTCCAGCATTTTTTTAAATATTTGCTATATAAATAGATTATCTTTTATAGAGGTTTAACAAAGTAGTAAATATAAATGCTACAAATGTTTAGAATCTTTGGGCTAGTGATAATTAAGTTTTAATTTTTGGCAGTATTTTAGCTTTAAAATTAATATCTTACTAAGAATAAAAAGAATTATAGTATATCTATTTATCTGGTCAGTTCTAAACTATGAATATTATGGTTCCACTAAAAGTAAATTTTGAACAATTCTCATTTCAGTGGTAGCTAATTTTTTAGAAATTGTTGACTTTTAAATGAAAAACTTATAGTTCCTATCAAGATTCTGGTATTTACTCCAAATGCTGATTTTTTTCAAAATTTCATGGATTTGGTCTCTGATAGCTCACTTCAACCATTCTCTTCACAATATGGAAAAGAAAGTGACATGAAATGAAGAGAAACTCAAATATTTTAAATGATATTTACATTTAAAAATTACTAATATTAGTTATTTTAGGATTTCAGAGTTATTATTCAGGCTGCTGATTTTAGAATTGTACAGTTCTTGCTTGTACTTTATTGTGCAAAAAAAGGGGCATTTCTAATAAAGCCATCATCTTACTTGATAGCTCTGGAGCCTCCCAGCTCAACTGTCTGGGATTTATACAAGATAAAATTACAGTGTGTGCAACAAACGACTCCTATCAGGTGACACGAGAAAGAATGACCCAGGCAGAGGAGGAATCCCGCAACCGAAGCACAAAAGTTATCAAACCCGGTGGACCATATGTAGGTTTGTACAGATATCCTTCTTCTTCTCGCTGATTGAGTGGAATAATTCAAGATCATTGTAGGTAAATACCGGTAATACTAATTTCACAAAAACACAAAAATTAGTTTTAAGAATATTTTTGATAACATGGTCAGAAGTCATTTGTTCTCTTCATACTCAACAGAAAAACAGATTTAAAGCTTTTATTTCTTTTATAAATCTGAATTTTGTGTTGGCTATTTGTTATTTTACAATATTGGGGTCTTATCAAGTTATTTTACTATGTGAGGTTGTAAGAATGGTATCATTGTATTTTCTTTGTCATTGGAGGATGTAATTTCAAAGGCAGAAGTTATGGTTTTTGTTTTGTACTTTTATACGGTTATTTTTACTATATATGTGTGTGTGTGTGTGTGTGTGTATATATATATATATATATTCATAGTATTTGTGAGTTGGTAACCTTATTTTTACAGCTTTTGCTTAAATTTTTCAGAGAATCTTTGTGCAATGTCAGATTTTTATAACCAAAGTATAAGATATGCTTATAGCAAGCATGTGGTGCCTCCTTGGTACCTCAATTGTGATGTCATTTATGGATCCACATCCTCATCCATTAATTAAGAGCCTGCCCCACTTCCATTATGTTTATCATCAGCTCACTCAAATATTCATCAGATTGAAGGGAAGGAAGACCAGATCAGCAAGACAAGTCTCTCCTTTATGAACAGTGACCCTAACAATTTTAAAGAGTCCATTCATAGTAACTATTAACAGTAATAAAGGGAATTATCAAGAATAAGAATGAGCTCTTTGAGAGCTTGGTCAGTTTAGTAATACAAGTCACTGGATAGTAAATGAAGAAAGGATATTAATTTGGAAACATAAATACTCACAAAACCAGTCTCTTGAAGAACCAAATCCCTTAATATCTTTCCATAGTTTGGTAAAATTCTGCTTTTGTATTTTCCCATTACTGACCTAGCTACAATACAATCAGCTTTGAGAAGCTCCACCAGTGTTTTTAATTATTATTTCTTTGGAACAAAGCCAGTGCTCCTGGGACTTGGTGCTTAGCTTAGATACATTTAGTTTGGTTTAACAACAATTCATATCTTTACCCATGAGGCCCAATTCCCATGCCAGAAAGTTACCAGCAATGAGATTTTTTCACCTTCCCTTTCCTGCTGGGTGAGGTAGCAACTTCCAACCTCTTTTCTTCCTCCTTTATCCTTACAAGTAACTTAATTAACTTTCTGTGCTAATTGGCTAAATCTCAAATTATTTTTAAAATACATGCGATCTGCAGTACTTATATTTCAGTACAAACTATGAATTTGCTATCCCTGTTGCTTTAAAGGTTTTTTTATTTTACTCTATCCAATACTACCATTTCAGAAATAGTGAGATAAATTGGTGTGTTTGAAAAAGGAATGGAAGACTCAAGCCATCTAAATGACTTTTTTCCTCCCAGTATAAGTAGCTGAAAACCCTTATCTTGATTTATTCCAAAGCTTGAAAATCAGTAATCATTACTGTACTTTTCCATTGAATGATCCTGGGTATCCCCTATGTCCATGTGTTTTTGTTTGTTTTGATAGGGTTAGGTACAGTTCATTTGCAGCTTACACAACAGACTTCACCACCCAGAGTCCCATAAACCATACCCTTGCTAATGGTATGGGAATTTTAGAATTTGCAGGGTTTCTTATAGGCACTACAAATAATTTATATAAATTTTTGGGAGTGACCCACATAAAATTTGAGGTTATCTAAGTTTTAATCTGAACCAAATTACATCTACACCATTCTAAAAAGAGCTGGCCACCCTGTTTGCACACACATGTTCCCACATCGGAGCCCTGCAGTGGCCTCTGCCAGCCCAAGTGCTCTGTTTCTCCTCCTCTGTGCTGTGTCCTCAGTGCCCCAGCCACTCACCATCACAGCACAGTGTTTTTTTCTGGTCTTAAATCTTGTCATTAACCTCCTCAGCCTTTTATTCTCTAGGTCAAATAACCCCAGCTCCTTTTAACTTTTCTTAATATGGCCTATATCCCAACCCTTTAATTATTTTTATTGCTCTCCTCTGTACTGCCTCCAGTTCTTCACCTCAAAGTTCAAAACTGGACAAGCCACTCTTAAGAAAAGTCTCATCAATTCTGAACTGAGGGGAGCAAAAGTCTAGTATCCACATTGGTTTTTCAGTTGTTTTTTATTTTTTATTGTTCCTTGTTATGGCATGTTTTGTTTTGTTTTGTTTTTTCTTTTAACTTTATCCACTTTCAGCCCTTTACCATGTTTCTTCCTTGTAGGTAGTTTAGTGTATATCCCTGCTTTTTTTCAGTATTACAAAACTGTCTGAGTTGTTTGGTTCTTTAAAATGCAGTCAGTCACCCTTCAATACTAATATTACCCAGTACTTATTGAGTGTTTGTGATACACAGGTACTGGTTACCATTTTACATGTCACAATCACCCTATGAAGAAGCTTATGATTACCTCTTTTTACATATCAAGTTGTTGATATCAGCAAATAGCAAATGATATGGGTTTTGCCTCAATAACAAGTTGTTATTTTCTTAAGACAATAGCAAATACCTCTGTAATTTATAATTGAATATATCATATAAAATGATACCAAAAGCTCACCTATGCCAACTTAGAGGTACCTGCAGAATAAGGTTTCTGTCAAGAGTGTCAGCCTAGGTACAGGACAAATGGGAATAATGCTGGCCACACTGTAGGGTTATGGTGGCATAATGCCAGGCCAGGTCTCTAACAGTTGAATTAGGATGCAGACCAAGTTTAAGAGGATGAAGACTGTGCTCCTAGGAGTCACCTGGCCTAGTTACCCAAGAATATGAGCTTCTGAAAGCCTCTTGTGGGCTGAAAAAAACCAAAACCTATTTCACCTGGAGAGTGCAGGAGGAAACATTATTTGCTCAGTAATGTTTCCAATTCGAACCATGGCATTTGTATCAGTGGTAAGCACTGTTGTGTTATAATACTTCTGTTTGTTAAAAAGAAAAAAAATCACTAATTATCATTGCTTCAGGTTTACTAGGATCTTAAGTCTGCTCACTGACTCCTACCTAAATTCTGGAATTTTATTGAATTACAAATTTTTATAATACTAATATTTACGTATAGAAACAAAAACAACCAATCTAATTTCTCAGATTCTGTTCCTGATTTTCCTAACTTCTGCCCCCATCCTCCTTATTTCTGATGAGTTAGTGCATGTTTGAGTGACTTTGGACAAATCATTTCACATCTATGGACCTTAATTTTTTTCAAATATTAAATAAGGGGTATTTGAACTAGATAACATCTAAGGTTCTTTGTAGTTCTAACATTTTGTGTTTGTTGCATATATATATATATATATAAAAGTGACCATAAATGCCATATGGTGGAGATGGATTCCACTGTTATGGATTATGTATTTAACCTTGACAGTCACATATCATCAAAGTCGTGCCAGCATTTTTAAAGCCTTGGGTCAGTGTTATCAGGGCTTCTGGTCAGGTTCCACAGGACAGAAAACAACTGCAGGAGATGGCTACCATCCCTGCTCTCTGATATACTGTTTTAAAATTTACTGAGAGCCATTAGATGAAGGGATAGATGCTTCTACCATCTCAGTAAATGGAGGGACTAGAGTGGGCCCTTTGCTTGAAACAGTGGTTTAGATGTGGTCCCAGATTACCTAACCCTGCCAGACCCACTGCTGCTGTTTATATAAGGAGCCCAGGGAATTGATTAGCAGTTGGGTCTGGGAAGAGAATTAAGTTCTCCCATAGGCTTTATTAAAAGGCCTTTTCTGAGGCAAATGTAAAAAGTAAAAATAAAGCATTTCTTCTGCCCACTTTAAACCAAACATTTTCCTGCTTTACTTTTTTCTTTTTCTTTATCATCTAAATTCTTTAACTACTTATAGCACTGATGTTTTCTTCATTTATAGGCTCTCTAACCTTAACTAGAGGCTCATTCATGGTTGAATAGGCACAAATTGATGGAAAGTCAGTGAGCAAGTAATTTTTGCGTAAAACTCATTGGCCCAGTGTGGCCAGATTGTTCTTTCAACATTTGAAAGAAAAGAGTTACTCCACCACTGCTTGTTTAAAAGAAAAATGAGGTAAAGTTTAAGTGAGTATATGGTGGGTAAGAGATTCATGGACTCAAGGATGACAGTCTAGCATTAGGCTCCTAACATTTTGTGTCTGTTGTATATATATTTTTTGATAGTAAACCTTTTGACTCGAGGTGACTCTAACACTGTCATAGTCCTGACCAGATTCTAATTCCTATTCAGACATCATACTTACACACATCATAAGGGCAAAGTGAGCCTCCCTTATTTGTCTGCCCTATGTCTACTTCAGGGACGAGGTGGGGTTAAACTCAGGAGACCTTGGGGCTTTCCTGAGACTGGGGATCAGATGTGGGTCAGACATACTGGAGAGGTAGGGCAGCCCAGAACACAGTGGTAGTACTGTCACTTTGTGTTTTTATTTTTATTTGCCTTCCTTGCTGGCTTGAATTCATTTGAAATGACTAGTCATGGTGTGTTGAGCTTAGCTAAATATTCTGTTCATCTTCCTCCCTAGAGAGTTGACGTGGGGGGTGCCCCATAGTAACCTTGTTTAGGGAAGAGTAAGTTAAGAGTAAATTAAACAGGTTTTAAGGGGAAGGGAGTGTGGAATTTATAACATTCCCTAAACTTTTGTGACCTCAATTCTTTCTTTTTTTTCTTTCGTTTCTTCACAAATCTCTATGAAAAATTCAGGGAATAATACTGTTTGTTAACTCTATTGTAACTGAGAAATGGTGGATTGGGAGGTTTGCATTTGCCATTTTAGAAATTTCAATGTCTCCCAATTCTGGCAGTTTGGCAATATGGGAATACACACTGTTTTGATTCCAGTTCCTCTAATGTCTAATTACTCTCTTGCTGTCATTCACTGTAATTTCACTTTGCTAGTCATCAAATTCTGAGTCAAAGTCTGCTAAGGGACAAGCAGCCACACCCCTGCCTGCATGGAGCTTGCAGCCTAACATGAAGCAACAGTGGACATTAGGCATTTGTTCATGAAACCTTTTCCACAAAGAAATACAAGTAGAAAAACTTGGGTATTTATCATAGGAGCTCCAAATGCTAAGAAAGCACTTTACCATTTGAGTTTATCCCATTGAAAGCAGTGACCTCGCCCTGGCCGGTTTGGCTCAGCGGTTAGAGCGTCAGCCTGCGGTCCACAGAGACCCGGGTTCAGTTCCCGCTAAGGGCATGTACCTTGGCTGCAGTTTGTCCCCGGCCCTGGTTGGGTCGTGTGGGTGGCGGCCGCTCGATGTGTCCCTTTCACATCGATGTTTCTCTCTCTTCCTCTCTCTTCTTCCCGCTCTATCTAAGTAAAAAATGGAAAATTGTCCTCGGGTGAGGATAAAAAAAAAAAAAAAAGAAAGCAGTGACCTCCCCAACACATAATTGGTACATGATAACCAATTAGTTCCCTGCCCATCTGACATTGATCTAGGTGTCTCTAAATTAAGAAAAATTCAGAAACCAGATCTAAATCTATCTCCAAAACTCTAATTGTACCTTAATTTGACAGCTTTTCTTGTTGTTGTGCAATGTCCCTTTAATGTTGAGTTCTGGTATTTATAGTTAGTTGGGTCCAGATAGTAAAGAACTATAAGAGCCCGTGAGATTATGCATCCTTTCTCCTTTACCTTAGGTAGGATGGTGTCAAACAAATAGCCCCTCTGGCCAGGCCTAGGGAGCCTAGCATGGACAGAATTATTCAGTAAATCTCCTGCCCCATTAAGCCAGCCATTTTCACTCTAGACCATAGCACTTCAGTGACTGCTTTTGCTTCTCCATTGTTTCTAGTTGCTAGACTTGTACCTAATGTAGTTGCCCCCCATTGTAGGCCATTATCAGTTCTTCCATCTCTAACCAGAGTGCAGTTAGTGGCTTAGAATATACCAAGTGAGATAGAAGATTACACCTCAGAAATTATAAAATGAGGGTCTTACACAGTTTCATTTTATCTTCTGTTTCTAGGTATAATTCTAGAAATAATATATAAATGTTTGTTTAAGTTCTATAAATTTTCATTTAACATCAAATACCTACATCCTTAAAATTTCCAGTTTGTTGCTATGTGTGTCACTAATTATTATCTATGTGTAGCTAAGTGATCAAAACACTTTCATAATATATATTTTAGTAAATAATTCCATCCAAAAATCCCTAATTTACTTTTTAGGCCATATATTCAGAATGCTTTCTGTTTGCATCTCTTTACAGTAAAATTTGAAGTAAAGTAGTGGTCTTTAGCCCCTCCAGGAATAAACAGGTACCTAACTCAGAGTTGTGGAAACTGAGATGCTCATTATATTATTGCCCACAAATGTATAACAAATGTCATTTCCACTGGACTTTAGGGAAAAGAGTACAAATTCGGAAAGCACCTCAAGCTGTTTCAGATGCAGTGCCTGAGAGGAAAAGGTCAACCCCCATGAACCCTGCCAATACGATTCGAAAGACATATGGCGGCAGCAGTGTTTCTCAGCGGCCATATAGGGACAGAGTGATTCACTTGCTGGCACTGAAGGCCTATAAGAAACCCGAGCTGCTGGCTCGACTGCAGAAAGATGGTGTCAATCAAAAAGACAAGAACTCTCTCGGAGCAATTCTGCAACAGGTAAGGACAGCAGGAGAGAGTTCCTTTCACCTACCTTCTTGTTGAGAAGTTCATTTAAGAAGGCTTGTTCTTGTTGTAACCATTATTATGTGTAAAGTATTAGTTCTGATCAGTTACCTTATAATCACAAGCTTAAGTATAAAAGTAGGTCATTAATTTAGTTAAAGTCAGTGGTTTGTAACTTCCTGTATTTTTCATACTGACTTAGTATCATAAATGTTGATTACCATTCAAATCCACCATAAAGGGTAGTCTTTTTTCCAAAGCAGTAACATTTCCAAAGTTCTTAAATTTCATCATAAAAAGAACCTTGCAGGTTTTCATCTATTATTCAAAGTATAATACTTTTAAGTCAATTTTTATCTACTCTCTCTTACATTCATGACATTATACTAAATGTTACAAGCGAATAAAACCATAATCTGTAGTTCTGGGGTGTTGTTAGTATGTATAGTGCCCCGGATAATAGGAAATCTAAGGATTGTTATATTTATTTCACTTTGAGAAATCTGATTATATCTCATGTTAATTTATTTGCAAATTTGAATTTTAAAATAAGCCTACCCTTTCTACTTTATAATAACATTAACATATTAGTATTCAGCTAAGATGTGAGAAAAGCATATACTATCCTAATATATTTGATAGTACTTACACAGAAAGAAATCAAGTTATTTAAAAAGACCTTTCCAGTAGGAACTGACAGGAGGAATACTTTTCTGCCATCCTTAAAAAAATGACTCTTGGTTTGGCTTCTCGATCCATACATTTGTGTTGTTAATAGAATTTGGGCCTGGATACTCTAGGAATTGTAGTTAGGGGATAAGAAAAGATTACACTTGGGAATAAACTGGCAGACTAATAACAGTAATTTGAGGGTTATTTTGGTTTGCTTTCATTTACTGGTTTTCAGAATTTCAAGGACTTTGAATAAGTGGTTCTTATTATCCAAGAAAATGACAGACAAAGTTGTTAGAATTGATACTATTTATGGAGATAATTTCTGTTGATTATTGAAGGGAAAGTTTGTAACCTAACATTTAGGCACTATTTGATTTCTACTTAATACGAGTGACCAAGGATTTTTACTGTGAATCAAAAGTAGGTAATAATGATAACAATGATGTCGATAATGTAACTATTTTTGGATTCCTTTGACTAGAAAAAAATGATTTTAAAAAATCTCCCTCTACTTTTTGCCTAATATGGGCTTACTATTTGATTAGAAATATGACAAGTGCAGTGGCCATTCAGAGGAAAAACTTTAGCTATCTACATAGTTTTAATTACCCAAATGAAGTTGAGCAGCATTTATTGAAATCTAGTATATGCAAACCTAGCAGTCCCTCTGTGACAGTTTTCAATATAAATCCTAAAAGTTACCTGTTTTAGGTTAGGAAAGAGCAAAAAGATCTAATGTTCTGTTTTCACACCATGTACCAGGTAGCCAATCTGAATTCTAAGGACCTCTCATATACCTTAAAGGATTATGTTTTTAAAGAGCTTCAGAGAGATTGGCCTGGATATAATGAAACTGACAGACGGTCATTAGAGTCAGTGCTCTCAAGGTAACTTCTTTTTTTTTAATGTTTTTCTTTAAACATGATGCAAATAAGATTATTTTAGTCATTGTTATTTTAGTGTTGAGCTGGGAAAAGAGAAGCAAGGTAAACTTTCTATCATGAAAATGTAAAAATTCCCTCTATAACTGGAACATGTGTGTTCTTTACAGAAAATTAAATGCATCTCAGAATGCTGCCAGCACCAGCCGTTCAGAATCTCCTCTATGCTCTAGTAGAGACACTGCATCTTCTCCTCAGGTATTCTATAAATTATGTAATCATAGGCCTGAAATGGACCTAGGGGCCATCTAGTTCGGTTCTTCTGTTTATATGTGAGAGAAGTTGGGCCACAGAAGATGCACAGCTTGTCTGCGCAAAGTCACATAGCTAGTTTATGGCAGAACTCGGTCTTCAACTCAGGTAGCAGCTCTCACCCAGAACTCTTCTCCATGGTACTATAGAGCTTGCCCAAATACTAATGTCTACCTTGCTTTTTCTTTTTTTTTTTAATTTATTTTTGTTTCAGATGTTTCTCTTTTTTTCCCCATTGACACCCTCCTTTCCATCCCCCCACCCTGTCCCCAGCTTTGTTGTCCATCAGTTATGTGTACATGCATATAAGTTTTGTGGTTTATCTCTCGCCACCGCCCCAGCCCCTCTTCTGAGGGTTGTCAGTCTTACCCAACTTCCATGTCTGTGAGTCTACCCTGTTCCTCAAACTGTTATTTTCGTTATATTCCACAAATAAGTGAGATCATGTGATATTTGTCTTTCTCTGCTTGGCTTGTTTCACTTAGGATAATACTCTCCAGGTCCCTCCATGTTGTCTCAAAGGATAAGAGCTCTTTCTTTCTTACAGCTGCATAATACTCCATTGTGTATATGTACCACAGCGTTTTTTATCCATTGGTCTACTGATGGATATTTGGCGTGTTACTAGATCTTAGCTGTTGTAAATAATGCTGCTATGAACATAGGGGTACATATATTATTTCTTAATGGTATTTCAGGCTTCTTAGTGTATATTCCTAGAAGTGGGATCACCGGGTCAGATGGCAATTCAATTTTTAATTTTTTGAGGTAACACCATAGTGTTTTCCATAGTGGCTGCACCAGTCTGCATTCCCACCAACAGTGTACTAGAGTACCCTTTTCCCCACACCCTCACCAACACTTGTTGTTTGATGCTTTGTTGATGGCGACCATTCTGATGGGTGTGAGGTGATATCTCATTGTTGTTTTAATTTGCATCTCTCTGATGATTAGTGATGTTGAGCATGTCTTCATATATCTCTTGGCCATTTGTATGCCCTGTTTGGAGAGGTGTCTATTTAGCTCCTCAGCCCATTTTTTAATTGGGTTCTTTGTCTTCCTTTTGTTGAGTTGTACGATCACTCTATGTATTTTGGAAATTAACCCCTTATCTGATGTATCCTTGGCAGTTATGCTCTCCCATACAGTGGGTTCCCTTTCCATTTTGATGGTTGTTTCTTTTGCTGTGCAGAAGCTTTTGAGTTTGATGTAGTCGCATGTGTTCATATTTTCCTTTGTTTCTGTTGCCTTAGGTGATGTATCAGTGAAAATTCTGCTGTGTGTGATATCTGAAATTTTGTTGCCTACATTTTCTTCTAGGATTTTTATGGATTCACTAGTTCTGTGAAATACTATATTAGTATTTTAATGGGGATTGCATTGAATCTATATATTGCTTTAGGTAATATGGACATTTTAATAATGATAGTTCTCCCAATCCATGAACAAGGTATATGCTTCCACTTTTTTATATCTTCCTCTATTTCTTTTTGTTATGTCCTGTAGTTTTCTGAAAATAGGCCCTTTACTTCTTTGGTTAAGTTTATTCCTAGGTATCTTAATTTTTTTGCCACAATGGTAAATGGAATTGTGTGGGGTTTTTTTTGTTTGTTTCCCTTTCTGTGAGTTCATCATTGGTGTATGAGAATGCCATCGATTTCTTGACATTAATTTTGTATCCTGCTACTTTGCCAAATTCATTCATTAATGACAGTTTAACTTTCTCCTTTCTTATTTGGATTCCTTTTATTTTTTCCTCATGTCTGATTGCTGTGGCAAGGACGTTTAGTACTATGTTAAATAAGAGTGGCGAACGTGGGCATCCTTTTCTTGTTTCTGTTCTTATATTTTTAGTTTTTGCCCATTGAGTATAACGTTGACTGTAGGTCTTTCATATATGGCCTTTATTATGTCAAGATATGATCCCTCTATTCCCACATTGTTGAGAGTTTTTATTAGAAATGGGTGCTGGATTTTGTCGAATGCTTTTTCACCATCTATTGATATGATCATGTGATTTTTATTCTTCATTTTGTTTATGTGGAGTATCACATGTATTGATTTGCAAATATTGTACCAGTCTTGCATCCCTGGGATGAATCCCACTTGGTCATGGTGAATAATTTTTTTGATATATTGCTGGATCCCATTTGTTAGTATTTTTGTGAAGGATTTCAGCATCTTTGTTCATCAGTGATATTGGTCTGTAGTTTTCTTTGTAGTGTCTTTTTCTGGTTTTGGAATTAGAATTATGCTTGCCTCATAAAATGAATATGGAAGTCTTCCTTCTTCTTGAATTTTTTGAAATAGTTTGAGGAGAATGGGTGTTAGTTCTTCTTTGAATGTTCGCTGAAATTTTCTCATAAAGCCATCCAGGCCTGGGCTTTTGTTTGCTGAGAGAGTCTTCATTACATGTTCAATTTCCTTAGTTGTTATTGGTCTGTTCAGTTTTCTATCTCTTCCTGGTCCAGTTTTGGGAGACTATGTGTTTCTTGAAATCTGTCCATTTCGCTTAGATTGTCAAATTTGCTGCCATATAATTGTTCATCGTATTTGTTAACAATCTTTTGTATTTCTGTGATGTCAGTTGTAACTTCTCCTCTTTCATTTCTGACTTTGTGTATTTGGGTTCTCTCTTTTGTTTCTTGGTGAGTCTAGCTAAGGGTCCATCAATCTTGTTTATCTTTTTGAAAAACCAGCTCTTTGTTTCATTGATCCTTTGAACTGTTTTGTTTGTTTGTTTGTTTGTTTGTTTGATTGATTGTTTGGTTTTTTTGTCTCTGTCATGTACTTCTCTAATCTTTACAATTTCCTTCTTTCTACTAGCTCTGGGGTTTTCTTTTTGTTTGCTTTCTAATTCTTTAAGTTGTGAGGTTAGATAGTCTATTAGACATTTTTCTTGTTTCTTAAGGTAGGCGTGTAGTGCTATGAACTTCCCTCTTAGAACTGCTTTCACTGCATCCCATAGATTTTGTGTTGTGTGTTCATTTTCATTGGTTTCCACGAAGTTTTTAATGTCTTCCTTGATTGCCTTGGTAACCCATTCATTGTTTAATAACATGCTATTTAGCCTCCGTGTTCAAATGTCTTTGCATGTTTTTGTTGCAGTTGATTTCTAGTTTCATGCCATTGTGATCTGAGAAGATGCTTGATATGATTTGAATCTTCTTGAACTTGTAGAGACTTAGTTTGTGTCCTAACATGTGGTCTATCTTTGAGAATGTCCCATGTGCACTAGAGAAGAATGTGAATTCTGCAGTTTTGGGGTGTAATTCTCTGTAGATATCTATTTAATCCATTTGGTCTAGTGCTTCATTTAGAGTCTCTGTTTCCTTGTTAATTTTTTGTCTAGAGGATCTATCCAGTGATGTCAGTGGGGTGTTGAAGTCCCCTACTATGATTGTATTGCTGTTGATTTCTCCTTTGAAGTCCTTCAGAAGATTTTTAATATATTTTGGTGCTCCTATATTGGGTGCATATATGTTTACCAAGGTTATATCTTCCTGTTGGACAGATCCTTTCAATATTATGTAGTGACCTTCTTTGTCTCTAGTTATGGCCTTCATTTTGAAATCTATTTTATCAGATATGAGTATTGCTACCCCAGCTTTTTTCCCCTTTCTGTTTGCTAGGAAGATTTTTTTCCATCCCTTCACTTTCAACCTATGTGAGTCTTTTGTTGTGAGGTGGGTCTCTTGTAAACAACAAATATGAGTCGTGCTTTGTTATCCAGTCAGCTACTCTGTGTCTTTTTTGGAGCATTCAATCCATTTACACTTACGGTGATTATTGATATATACTTATTTATTGCCATTTTTCTTTAGTGTGGTTGTATTTTTCTTCCTATTTCTTCTAATTACAGCAGTTCTTTTAACATTTCTTGCAGTGCTGGTTTGGTGTTAATGTATTCCCTTAGCCTTTTTTTGTCTGGAAAGCTCTTTATTTGACCTTCTATTTTGAATGATAGCCTTGCTGGATAGAGTAGTCTTGGATTCAGATCCTTGTTTTTCATGACCTTGATTACTTCATGCCATTCCCTTCCAGCCTGTAGTGTTTCTGTTGAGAAGTCAGCTGAGAGCCTTGTGGGGGTTCCTTTGTAGGTAACCTGTTGCTTATCTCTTGCTGCCTTTAGGATTCTCTCTGTCTTTAATTTTTGGCATTTTAATTAGTATGTGTCTTGGTGTGGGCCTGTTTGGGTTCTTCTTACTTGGGGCTCTCTGTGCTTCTTGAACTTGAATGCCTTCTTCCGTCACCAAAGTAGGGAAATTTTCTTTTACTATTTTTTCAAATATATTCTCTAAGCCTTGCTCATTTTCTTCTTTGGGAACTCCTATGATGTGAATATTATTGTTTTCAGTTTTCCCACAGTTCTCTTAAACTGTCTTCCTGTTTTTTAATTGTTTTTTTCTTTTGGTTATCTGATTGGTTGATTTCTTTCTACTCGGTTTCTAATACGTTGATCCAGTCCTCAGCTCCCTCTACTCCCTTGTTTAGTTTATCCAGTGTGTTCTTTATTCCTGCTATGTCATTCTTCATTTACACTTTGTTGGTTTTCAATGCTTGTGTATCTTGACGCATGGTGTTGAGGTCCTTACTTATGCTGTTGAGCTTCCTCAAGATCATGGCTCTGAACTCTACCTCTGATAACTTGCTTAACTGCATATCATTTATCTCATCTTCGGTAGAGGTTTCTTATTGTTTCATTTGGGACTTGTTTTTTTGTTTCACCATTTTGGCTATCTCAGTGGGTTTTGGAGCCTGCCAAATTTTCTCTGTGGGTATTGGTGTTGTGCTGTTTGTTGCTTCCTCTACTGGGTTTGGATGAGCATGGGAGGACCCACGATAAACACCACTGTCAAGTCTTACTTTCCTGGGAAGATTTGCAAGCCCAGGAACATTCAGTTATCGTCTAGCTTTTTGCCTGGAGGCTGTTAGTCTAGGTTACTTGAAGAGCCTTGGGTTCTCAGTTGAATGAAAAACTCCCTCAGGTGTTCAGTGAAAGACGATTTCCCAAGGGTGAGGCAGATGCTGGTTGTTAATGAGCCTGAATTTGCATTTCTTTGGCCCACCTGGGTGGGGTTGAATCTAGGAAGGAGTGGCCACTGCCTCTCCCCAGAGCCCTGGGAAGGAGTAAGATGGCCACTGTCCTGCGTGGCCACAACTCAGCAAAAGCTCTGAGCGCCCTCCAAATCCCAAGTATCCCCATACAGTTCCAGTCCAGTCCTCCCTCCCTCTTCCAGAGCCCAAGGTGAGTGGCTGCAGCTAATTTAGCGCCCTGTCCCCTCCCTCTGCACTGTGGAGCTGGTTTGGGATTTTAAACCCGAGGGCACTACTCACAGCTAAGGCCACTGCTGTCTGTGGGCTCCCAGCCCCTCTCTGGTCCTCCGCCGTCCTACCAGGATCAATTCAGTGTCCCTGGTTATATGGTCCTCCCAAGCTGCTTCTCCATTGTTTTTTCCCGGCGATTTGTCTTTATTTTAGTTGTAATTCCGATTTGGTCCTGGGAATGGTCTGTGTAGCTTCCATTCACCCTGCTGCCATTTTGGAATCTCCTGCTTTTCCATTTTTAAAGGTTACCTTTTTTTTTTTTTTTTTTTTTTTAAGATTATCTACTTTTCTATTTGGTCACTAACTAGAAGACCTATCCAATCCCATATATATTCTCAGATTATATAGAATATTGAAGATGTTTAATTTTATCTGAAATATGTTCCAGAAAAATATTCTTGGGGAAAAATATTTTTTAAATAAGCAAACAAAAAATTCTGCCATTTCATACATATGTTCTTAAATCACTTTCAATTAGATCTCAATCAGAATACTGCAATTACACTTTAATCCAGCTTAGTTTCAATTCAGTTTATCCTGGAAAAGGGTGGGAAGATCCTGGATGGTGTTAGAGTTCAAACCCGCTTGGATTTCGGAGGACCCAGCCAGCCTTGAACTCTCAGTTTCCCAGGGCTTTGGAACTTAGAGTGGGACAGGCCTCTTTACCCCAGTACTGCTGGTAGTGTTTCTCTCTCTGGACCCTTCTCCTAAGGATTAGGGAGACAGGACAGATGGTTGGCGAGCAGTAAGAATGCCCTGGGCAAAGGCTATTCATGTGTCAGAAAATGTTAACAACCTGTTGTGAGGAACAGGAGGAACAAAATAAAAGCAATTCTGACGTTGTGTGTACACTATCTATAGAAGCCTCAATTTAATGCCACTTACCATGGAGCTGCTTATAGTTCTGATCTGATTATATACTGGGTGCCAAATCAATGGTGCTAAATTGAAAACAGATTAAATTAATGGAATGATTAACTTATTTTCTCTCAAGCTTAAGTTTAAGTCACAGTATTTCATTGGATATATGATTTATACTTTTCAACGATCTGAATCATCTTTTTAATTTAAATGCTATTGTTGCTGGATTGGGTTAATATTAGCATGATTTTTTAAATGATTGAAACAGTAATTCCATATGATTTTTATGGGCCAATTATTAAGATTTATTTTCCAATCCATTGAAGGGGAAAAAAAATCAGTAGTGTTTCAACAATGATAGAGATACATAGAGAAGTTACTCTGAAGGTGTTGGATGTTTTCATCCTCAGACAGGTGAAATAATAAATGACAGCTAAAATATTCATAACTGAAGCATCTTCGTACATTAGAGATTATAAGTGTAGGCTTCTTGTCTTTTACCTACCTCTATTGTTTTGACAGTGTGGAAATGGTAGAAACTGCATCCTCCTCCCACTTATAACTAAATCAGCAGAGGAAGGAGGCCACCTCTATTGAATACTCTCCTGACTGGTATAATTCACATAAATTGGCATAGTCTCTCAAAGAACTGAGGGTGGGGTTGTATGATCAGAAAGCTAAGTACTCCAAGAAATGTATACAGGGGTGGTTAAAAATAGGTTTACAGTTGTTTGTATGGAAAAAGACATGAAAGTTATGGTTATTACAGTGGCTTTATTAACTCAAAGGAAAGTCACAGTGGCACAGTAGACCTACTTTTACCCACCCCTGTATTTGCCAAATTCTCCTTTTTCACATTAGAAATGAGAATTTGTCACTTTTTTTTCTTTTGTGGCTCATTTGTTTTTGCTTAAGCTTGGAGAAAGGTTTAACATAACACCAGTGATAAATTAAGGATGAATAAAATTACTTAGTTGTTCTTATGGTAACAGCAATGCATATATTGTATTTTAGTGCAAACTGGTTCATCTTTTTTCCTGTTCCCCCCACCCAGAAACGGCTTTTAGATTCAGATTTCATCGATCCTTTAATGAATAAAAAAGCTCGAATATCTCACCTGACAAATAGAGTGCCACCAACATTAAATGGTCATTTGAATTCTACCAGTGAAAAATCTGCTGCAGGGCTCCCGCCACCCCCTGCAGCCGCTGCCATCCCCACCGCTCCACCACTGCCTTCCACCCACCTGCCCGTCTCCAGTCCTCCTCAGGCTGCAGATTCTAACTCCAATTCCCCTAGCACTCCAGAAGGCCGGGGGACTCAAGACCTACCTGTTGACAGTTTTAGTCAGAACAGTAGTATCTGTGAGGACCAGCAAGACAAATATACCTCTAGGACTTCTCTGGAAACCTTACCCTCTGATTCAGTTCTACTAAAGTGTCCAAAGCCTACGGAAGAAAACCATTCAACGTCTCACAAAAAGTCCAAAAAGAAGTCTAAAAAACACAAGGAAAAGGACCAAATAAAGAAACATGATATTGAGCTGAATGAGGAAAAGGAAGAGGACCTTAAAAGAGATGAGGAAATTGCCAAGCTGAACAACTCCAGTCCGGATTCCAATGAAGGTATTTTATACTTGTAAAAACCAACTACACACATAAATGAATAAGAAGAGGCGACTTCGTGAGTGTGAGGTTATGCTGTTCATAATTAGTAATGCCTTTTCATCAAATGAGGTTTCATTTAGTTACTAATCTTAGTATTGTGTTTTTTGAGCAGGTTGTGTTTTTTGTTTTGCATTTTACTGCAGTCATTTTTAATCTCTCTTTAGCCACTTATTAACTGTGTTTCTATATTTGTTAATAAGGTGGTGAGTGACATTTGAAAATGACCCTGTCATCCTCCAGAGACCCCTTTAAAGAAGGTGGGCTTTGTTGCCCTTTTCTATACTATGATGGTATTATGAAACCTCAACATGACCTGTTATATGCCATTCTTGAAGTGATTTAAAATGAAGCAATAAAAATATTTCTTTCTTTCTTTGCCAAAGAAACAGGGTCACTCATGCCTTAATTAATATTAGTACAGGGGAAATGTCAAATTCTTTATAAAACAGACAAAGTAAAATTACATTTACAGATTCATAATATCATCTTCATTCAGAGTAAAGGCAGTTTGTCTTAGTAAACATCAGTTGTTATTAGTAAAATTAATCATTTAAAGCTTTTGGATGCTTTAAAAGCCAAATATCTAGAAACCTAAAGAAGCTTAGAATAATGCTTTATCTCTAAAGAAAAAGCTAACCAGTAGCAGGATTGCTTACCTGGGGTATAGTGATTTTTAAAACCCAATGACAAAATTGTTCATTCTTGGTTTTTTTTTTGTTTTGTTTTTTTTGTTTTTTGTTTTGGTTTTGAGTTGTCTTCTAAAACTTAATGTCTTACATGCTAGCACATAGAACATCCTGGCCCATTGTTTAGTATTTATGCCCATTTTAAACCCAGCATAAAAACTAAGAAAAAAATTCCCCAGGAAAATACAACTTTAGAAAAGTTACCTTAATGAAGAGAGTTTCAGGAGTATTATCTTTCTGTAATTTTTCCACAATACTGAAAATATGTAGTGCTTAGATTTAATTGACTATTTTTACCATATGAGAGAAGCTTTGATATAGAATAGTATGATACAGTACCATTATTGACCTGGATTAAATATATTGCATGTCAAAGTATATCTGTTGAAATATTTAGATCAGTGTGATACTATATAGTGGCCCAAGAGAAAGGTGTAAGCTTTTTTCCTCAAACACTATTGTGCTTGAATTTGCCAGGTCAGGAAAGGCAAGAGGTAATAAAACCTCGTGTAGAGTTAGTACACCAGGTCTCTGGGTATGCCCACACTCCACACTTCCCACTCTCATTGGTGATCCTAAGTCAGAGGTTAGTGCCGGAAGGATTGTATCCCAGTATGTTTAGATCTTCTTAGAGTTTGAGGCCTGGATAAGCAGACCTAGTTTCTTTGAACCTTCAGTGAGGATGTGGTGTCTTTCAAAGACAATTGAGATAATCACAAACTGAAGACAAATCAGACCCACATTCCCTGTATCTATTTGTTGCAACTTCACTGGTGTTTGTGTCAAAGGAGAAGCCAGGAGACATATACTTGATGCCTTTTCCTTTAAGACTCAGGCTGTTGTAAAAACAAACTTCTACCCAAGCATGAATCAAATAGACAGTAGTCCCCCCCTTATCTACAGTTCTGCTTTCTGTGGTTTCAGTTACCCACTGTCAACTGTGGTCCAAGTATATTAAATGCAAAATTACAGAAATAAACAGTTCATAAGTTTTAAATTGCATGCCATTCTGAGGAGCGTGATAAAATCTCACTGCCTTTCTCTCTGTACCGCCCAGGACATGAATCACCCCTTTGTCCAATGTCTCCACCCTGTATACACTACCTGTCTGACAGTCACTTAGTACTGGCTGGGTTATCAGATCAACTGTCTAGGTATCACAGGGCTTGTGTTCAAGTCACCCTTATTTTACTTAATAATGGTCCCACAGCACAGGAGTACATAGTGATGTTGGCAATTCAGAGATGCCAGAGTGAAGCTGTCAAGTGTACCTATGTAGAGGAAAAAACAGTATATATGGGACTTGGTACTATAAGTGGTTTTAGGTATCCATTAGGGGTCTTAGAACATATCACCTTCTGGATAATGGGAAACTACTGTATGTACTGTATATGTACAATCCATGAACATGAATAAAAAGTCCATAGAATTTGCATAATTTGTTTAATATGCTTGTTATTTAAAGTATTAAACCAAGATATCAAATATTCAATTTTGTTTTGCCAGCAGGCAGGGTTAGAGTTTGAGTTATTACTTTAATTCTACTTTGAATGATAAAAATTACCCTAGTAAAATATCTAATCATACCCCGTGCAAATGGCACGTTCAAACAAATGAAATACTTCGGGATTTATACACTTTCACAGCATGGTCCTGAATGATCAGCACTTTATCTTTTTGGCCTTTTAAAAACAAATCTATGTTATTATGAAGGTTAGAGATTAGAGGATTATAAATCAGTGTTTAGTAATAACTTATTTTAAATTACTTTAAACCGACAGGAAAACTTCCTACCCAGTTCCACTGTCTGCATACAAAAAGGGCAGCAGTAAAAATACAGTGACTGAAACAGTCTGCTACCTGACTTCACTGTCTCATCTGCCTTGTTTGAATCCTATGAAAAGTAGATGTTGATGTAAAAGTTTATCTCCCATTGTCTGGCTGCATCTGCCATCACAATCTTTGAATTGCTGGGCAGATGCCACAACTGTTGTTGAAAGAATAGAAGATTGACCTTGGGTTAAGATGGAATTCCTTTATTGTGCAGACACTGCAGTAGCCAGGGTGCTTTCAATGCCTGGCATCGGTTCTGCTGGCGCTGGTCATAGGGCCTCTATTGTTCATGTTCAATTGTATTCCTTGCTCACTGTTGCTTATTGAGATGGAAGAATAGAATTTGAGGAAAAGTGCTCCAGATGTTTCTGATCTATTTTAGAATTATAGGCATTTTATAACCATACTGTTGGTGAACACTTGAATTTTTTTCTTCGTAGGAGTTAAAGAGGGTTGCACTGCCTCCACGGAGCCTTCTTCAACAATTGAACTCCCAGATTATTTGATGTAAGTTCAGATGTCTGCCAATGAGAGAGAACTGTTTAATTTTAGAAAGTTTGCAAATTCTTTTCCCATAATTTGCAAATCAGAAAAGTAAGACGTTCCAGAAATAGTGTCCTAAAGCCACCCCTGCAATTGAAAGGCTGCCATTAAGCCTGCTCGTCCCAAATCTACCCTTGTCTGCTTCAGTCGGTTGTGCCTCCCCTTGCTCTGAGCTTTGCGCAGTGGCCTTTAAGTATAGAGAAGCCGGTCCTTTGTTCCGGGGCCAGGCCAAGCATTTGATTATAGGAGATTTCAGGGATCTGACTCCTCAAAGCTGACAGTTTATCAATGCACAGTCCTTCCCTGCATGTGTTACTGGTAACATGCTTAAACCTCTGCAGTTAATACAAAGTAGAGAGTGATTGATTTTGTTTAAATAAAGCTCTGCCATCAAATTAATTTTAAAAGCAGATAATAGTAAAATTTGATCACCTCACTTTAGTACAGGTTATAATGGTTTTCTTGTTATGACAACAAGTTGCTAAATGCTGAGCTGGGGACATTTTTGTAACTGGCTATCACAGAAATTATAACCTGGACACATAATTCTAGCTTTTTTACAGACTCAGAGGCTTCTATAAGAAGAAAATAATTAAGTTGTAAGAGCCTGGAAAAAATGGAGAGTGAAAGAGCAAGTGGGCCTGACTGTCGATAGCTTAAAGAATGAACAAATGTGCAAGATAGCCTGAATGTAGAATAGAAAATGAAATCTGGGCTGTATGAACATGTTTTTCTCTATTTAGTACCATCTCATGGTGGACAAAGTCAAACTATGCTATTTAGTCCTCCATATCCTATGAAATGCTCATTTCCAGAGTAGAGAACATTTTACACTTAAAATGTGTTATTTTTGCTTAACAGTAGTGTGTGTGAAAGCAGTATTTATTGGGGAATGATATAGCAGGAAACCATAATGCTGGTTATCATCTCTTAACTAAAAGGAACCCAAGAAACCATGCTGAGTAGTGTATGGTTTTGGAGTTCTGTGTGGGGGCTTTGAAAAGCAGCCACCACTGAGTTGGCCCAGGAAGGGTTCGTTGGGGGATAGCACCTGTCTCCACTGATGATGAGGTTCATCTGTCCGACTGTATACCCATTTCTCCTTAAAAGTGCTGTCAAAGTTGCTGCCCCCTCAAATAACAACGGCAGTGCTGTGCTCTCATTCTCTCACAATGGATTCTAAATTCCTCTTTTTTGCCCTAGTGATGTATACTTGTTATGTTTGACAGATCATGTAAGGAGACTGCAAAATAATTCTGACCTTTCCCCTGTGGATTCAGGCTATGTTTTGTCAACTATCAGTTAATTCTAATTAAAACTTTTTTAACTTAGTGATTTAAGGATGGTTACTGCATCTGCCTCTGCATTTCTGTACATTTGTCTTGTTTTTAGCTCTTTAATAATTACAAATATATATAACCTGTGCAATTGTTTGCTTACATTATTTAAGTAAAAGCAATTTGTTTTAACCAAAAATTAAGTCTTGTATAAATACAGAAATTTTTCTAAAAATGGTGAGAAAGCATGAATTTTCAGAAAAATCTCCAGAAGTATAAAACTTAAGTTTTTTTTATGAGAAACCAAAAGACTATACTATCAAACCTTAATGATCAGCTTCTGAATAATTCATACTTAACTACAGTATTTTGATTTTTTTTTTTTTCCTCACCCGAGGACATTTTTCATTTTTTGTTCAGGTAGAGTGGGAGGGAGAGAGAGAGAGAAACATCGATGTGAAAGGAACACATCGAGTGGCTGCCACCCGCACAACTGACCAGGGCCGGGGACAAACTGCAACCGAGGTACGCGCCCTTAGCGGGAACCAAACCCGGGTCTCTCAGGACCGCAGGTGGACGCTCTAACCGCTGAGCCAAACAGGCCAGGGAAGTATTTTGATTTTTATATAATAGGAATACTTCTCCTTCTGGTTGTGAATTGTCCAGACTGTTTAAAATTTTATTCCATTGCTGCATTACAAGCCACCTGTAGAACTCAGACTTTTTGGTAAAAATAGCGAAATGCTTTTCCTTAAAATGCCAGTATAATCAAATAATCTTCTATAATAGCAACACACCTGTTGGTCAGTTTGTTATTTTTCTAAGGATATTAAGTGAAATATGGAGGGTGTGGTTTGAGAAAGCAGGATAAGTATTTTGTATAACAAATTGAACCTGAGTTTCACAATCTGTTTGACCATTTTCCTCACATACGCTGTCCCCAGGAATTGCTTCTCCTGAGTGGGCCCCTCTGCTGTGCAGTGAGGACGGCCCGTCTGGAGAGGACACTTCCCCCTGCTGCCTTGCTTGGCTGGCGCTGCCTTTCACAGCAAAGACACCGCAGGACAGCTTTCAGGCTGCACACCACACGTCTCCATTACACCTAGAAAATTACACTGCTGCACTGGCTAACTCGGCATGGATAGATATTAATGAGGACATTAAGGTTGCTCACTGCACCACTTCTCACATCTCCAACTAGCTATCTGTGCTGTCCCATTTTAAATAAAAGTGACAAGATTATCTGAAACTGTTTCGGAGAGGACTGAACTCCACGGTTTTCCCACAATGAAGAATATTATGTATACTCTGGGGCTCCCTGCTTAAAATTGCTTTGAAATCTTCATTTTTATCTCAATAAAGTCAAGGGACTTTTGCATTCCATGACAGAAGCACAGAGTGCAGAGGCCAGACCAGGCCCTGAGGTGATCCCAGTCCCCAGGTCCACGAACAAATAATAATTCTGTTTTAATATGAAAATGCTGGTTTCATGTATTAACCACTAAATGAACTGACACTCTGGGAAAACGGCCTTCATTCCTCAGGTTCTTAGAAGTATTCATACCCCAAAATAAAACAGGTTTATGGCATTTTTATTAAGAAAGTAAATTAGACTAGTAGCACAACACTGCCTTTCTGTTACACATGCTATACTATGTCACTTTTTAAAGTGATAAACAATTTCCCTTTTGTATTTTATATATTTGCCTAATCAGAAATGGGAGGAAAGGGAGAGAGGGAACTAATCCCAAGGCACCTTGGTGGCAGCAGGTGTGAAAGACCTAAAGACAGCTTCCCTCATAAAGCAGCAAGTCGAGAGAGAGATTGACTTTCGCACTTGGTGACTGTGTGGCATTTTCCCGGTTCTGCGCTATCCCTCTGTCTCCATGTGACTGGTAATAGATGTTGGCCTCTGCTGCTAGTATGTAGTGAATTATTTTGGGTAGATAAAGGTTTAGGAAGCTATATCTATATGAGTGTTGTTTTCTTTTTACATAGTTGTACTTTAATTCCATTGCCACCATGCCTTTTTTCATTGGGCTTCTAAGCTCTTCGGTAGCATAATTTCACCTGGAAGGTCTTTGAAGGAGTGACATGGCTATCTTTTATCCTGTTTGGTTTTTTTTTATTATTAGAAAATATATTGCTATTGTCTCTTACGAGCAACGCCAGAATTACAAGGATGACTTCAATGCGGAGTATGATGAGTACAGGGCCTTGCACGCCAGAATGGAGACTGTAGCAAGAAGATTTATCAAACTGGATGCGCAACGAAAGCGCCTTTCTCCAGGCTCAAAAGAATATCAGGTAAATGCATTTGTTCCTATATGGACTGGCTTTCATATTTGTTTCTTTCTCTGTCCGGCCCAACCCCCAGGCATCCTGTTAGCTTCCAGAGTGAGTCTTCTCACTGATCACCTTCTCTGCAGCTCTGGGCTCTCATTTAAAATGAGCTAGGAAACTAAATATTTGAAATAGTTATTGAAAATAAGTAAACACAATGAACTTGTATTTCCATCAGTGGAAAAAAAATAACCTTTTTATTTAACATAATATGTGTAAAATATGTAATATATTCTTATACATTTACTATAATATATAGTGTATTGGGGAAAATACCAAACACAACTAAATAGGGAAAAAAAATTTGATTCATGATTCTTCAAAGTATTTTATTGCATTGCCAACTCAACTCAGGCTACAGCTCCTAGATCTGGTGCTGTTACCCAAAATTGCAATTTCAAGTAAATACTTTAATTAATTTAAAAAAATTTTTTTTTCTTAATTGATTTTTAGAGAGAGGAAGGAAGAGGGAGCAAGAAATAGAAACACCGATGAGAGAGAACATCGATTGGCCACCTCCTGCATGCCCCCTACTGGGGATTGGGCCCGAAACCTGGGCATCTGCCCTGACCGGGAATCGAACCGGTGACCTCTTGGCGTATGGGTCGATGCTCAATCACTGAGCCACACCAGCCAGGCTTAATTTTTTATATAACCTCAGTCAGGCATAAAATAGGAAAGATATAGACACAGAATATAACAGGGGCTTCATACCACAGAAGTTTGGGGTTAAATGAAAAAAAGCATGGTGCTTCCAGCTACTCCAGAGACAGACGTTGGTTAACAGGTATTAATCAGTTTTCACTTCCCTACAGCTAACAAAGAGCAGTAGAAGCCTGACCCGATTGTTCTCATAGTTCTTAGCGAAAGGACTAATGTAAATGAGTGGTTCCTTCCTTGGGCTGGCCAGATAACTTTGTCGTACTTCACAAGCATAGACCCCGGGCCACTACCATTATTCTGACAGGAACCAAGTGGGAGAATGGATGAGTTTTCCCACAATGGAAGCGCCTGTGCTCTAGAGATTCAGTATGTCTTCTATTAGTGGGCCTTAATCTCTTAAACAAGCCGCCCAGAATTATAGAAGATTTTGTCAGAGGAGTTGGTGTTTGAGGGTGCAGAAGGTCAATGATATGGTTATGTCAGGTTGGTTTTTTTTCCTATATAGTTATTCCAGTGTACCATGATTATATTTAAAGTGTAATTCCAAGGATTGCTTAGTGGTTAGGAGCAGGTTCCAGAGTCAGAATGCCTGGGTTTGATTCCCAGTTCCTACCATTTAATACTTGTGTGACCTTGGGCAAGTTATTTAACTTGTCTCAAAATACCCATCTGTAAAATGAGGTGATTATATACTCGTGCAGAATAAATGTAAGCGTTTGGAACCTGCTTAGATCCATTGTACATCAGGTTATATGATACATAAGGCTTAGCCATTTTCCCCAACCACTCAACTTTCCTCCCTGGAGGCAATCAGTAGTACTGGTTTCCAATGTATTCTTTCAGAGATGTGTGTGTGTGTGTGTAAGATGTATATACACAAGCAAATTCACATTTTTACCATATGTAATTAAATCTAAGATATCTAATTATAGGATGCACCATTGTCTTATGTTCCAGTAAGTTAAACTCTGATACAATGTTATTTATCTGATTTCATTAAAATGAGAAGAAATATGCATCTTAGAAGTAATGAAATTCTTAGAATATATTGTTTCCTTCTTTTAAACATATGATATCAAACTGTATAATTGTTCTGCACTTTGCTTTTTTCACTGAATATAATGCATCTTAGAGAATTTTTTATATAAACACTTCCCCCCTTTTTAATGGTCTCCTTAGTGTTCCCTTTTGGATTAATAGACACTTAGATTTTGTTTAATGTTTTGTGCTTTACAAACAGTGCTGCAGCAGTTACCCTTCTGCACATGTCATTTCACTGAGCACAGGTGAATCTGGCAGACAGGTAGAAGTGCCGAGTTACTTCTGCATTCATTGTACTGAGAGCAGTTGCCGAATTGCCTTCCTTAAAGATTGTGCCGACTTCTATTCCCATCGTCATATTTCCCACACCCTGGCATATGAGTTAATCTTTATATTGCAAGCAAAAAAGTTCTCTTCTGATTTCTAATTTTTTTAATTTTGTAGAATGTTCATGAAGAAGTCTTACAAGAATATCAGAAGATCAAGCAGGTAGGTAGTAGGATCACTGTTGGTTCGCTGACATAAAGTTGGGAATTATAAATTCTGTAACCTGATTCCTCATTGTTGTTTTTTTTTCACCCACAGTCTAGTCCCAATTACCATGAAGAAAAATACAGATGCGAGTATCTTCATAACAAGCTGGCTCACATCAAAAGACTCATAGGTGAATTTGACCAACAGCAAGCAGAGTCATGGCACTAGAGCTCTGCTTGGACCAGAAGATGTGAATAAACTTAAGCTTATTTATTTAAAATTCCAAATGAGTTGCTCTAAGATTCTAAAAAAAAAAAGTGAAACTTTGCCTGTTGGAAGTTTCAGTATGTGTAAACTTGAGTTACCTTTTTTTTGCTGCCCCTCTCCCGCCTCCCCAATCCCCACCCTTTTCTTTGCTTCCCTGCATTTTTGAAGCTGCTTTTTCTGGTCCTTGTTTTCTCCCTCAAGACTTGTGTTTGTCAATAGAAGTGATTTTTTTGTTTTAGATATTGGGGATCCAGTATCTATACTTCAAATCAGTTTTTTTTCTTAAAAACTTGTTTGTAATTAGAAATGATTTTTTTTTTAGATATTGGGAATCTAGTGTCCACACTTCAAAGTTATGTGTGTTAAAAAAACAAAACAACCAGTAATGTGCAAGGTGAAATGCTTTTGGATAAACATAAGCCTATTTTCTGACCTTTCTTAATGCGAACTCTTTGCCTTAAATGGTAGCATATTTAGAAATTTGCACAAAATACAAAAAAATTAAAACATTGTTTTGGAGGGTTAATACATAGAAAGGTCTATGTGTATGTATACGTGTGTAGCTAGCTACACACGTGCATATATATATATAGGCTGACTCGAAATAGAACAGTAAATTGCTCTGCCAGTTAACCCCCCATTGCAATGGTTGCCTTAAGGTGTTTGCTAGTTGTGTACATAGTGTGGTTAATCATTAGCTACACTGCTTCCCACTTGATTGGAGCAGTGGGAAGCACACTGTGGCCTACCAGCGTCTGAAAGAGTGTCCGCGACCTGTGTGTGTGTGCAGAGGTGGTGTGGATGTGAGCGTGCATGAAGGGAACAAGCTGCTGCTCTCAGTAGGCCGAACGCTCAGGTTAAACAACTGACGAGTGTTACTGTAGGTTTTTTTTGTTTTTGTTTTCTGTCAAATAGCTACTTCTATTGTGAAAGACAAAAGCATTTCCATTTCAACCGTTCGTCAGCTTTGTTGTTGGGCAAAATTGATATATTCTGAAAATGAAACAAATCTATAGTTTTGGGGCAAAATTATAAAATTAAATATGTAGGTAACCTATTTATATACTGGTATAAAGTATTTTTTTGAAGAGAGATGTGCAAAGAAGTTATTACCTACATGAAATGTATATTTAAAGATTTTTTTCTTCATCCTGGGTGCCAGGAATATGAAAAACAGAGGATATATTTAACCATAGCATACTGTGATTCATCAAACAGCACAAACTTTCATTTCATGGAGTTTATCTGTTGACGTTGATTTAAACTATCACTTGTTTTATCATGTGGGAACATAAGTTATGTCAAAAATGTAAGGACTTTGAACTAATGTTGATTCAAGTTGTGTCGTCTTACCGTGTTGTCTTTTCAAAGTGTTGCCAGTTAAAAAGGGAAGCATTATGTTTACAAATCTGTTCTGAAATGTTTGCCAAAATTTGGTAGTATCTTTAATAAAGATGTTTGTCTCCAGCATCCAAAAAAATAAATAAATAACTTTGTTGTGTATCGCTGTAAACCAGAAAATGTTAGTTTCTAGATAACCTGAGAGAGCACGTAGATGAACTCTCTCTTTGGAGTTCTTCTAAAATCTTAACTGGAAAGAGTAGATAATATAGTGAAAGTACACAAACTATTCAAAGACTGAAGCAAGACCCTCCACACCATAACTCTATAACATTACTGCAGAAATTTAATTTCTATGTAGCATGGACCTCTTGGGAATTCTATTTCTTTTAGCATTGAGATCCCTGGTGCTCTTCCTTTTACCTCAGAATTGGTACAATCATTATTAAATGTTCATTGATTTCAGACTTTCAGTTGAAAAGAAGATAGGAAAGGAAACATACTTAATTGGGGGTCAATTTGATCCTCATATTATTATGGTGAAGTCTGCTGAGGGATTTGTCTATAGGTAACAACCTCCTCATTGATGTCATTTCTTAAACATCTTGGCCTTTTAATCAAAGATTGTGTGCTGCTATTTGCTATGAGTGGTGTTTCTCAAAAACAAGGTGCTTGGACCACTTACATCACCCAAATTAGAATCTCTGGGTATAGGGCCCAGGTATCCACCCATACTTTCATAGTAAGTATCCTCCAGGTGACTTTTGCAAGTTAAAGTGTAAGAAACATTGGTTTGGATGTAGAAACCTTAGGTCTCTCAATCTCAAAATCTTGAACTGAAGTTCAGCTATTGGTTTGTTGTTGTTGTTTTAAGCCCATCTCTATCAGCAGGCACATCACTTTCCCCTCGACAGCATGTGAGGCACCCTCTCCAACGTTTCACTGCCAACTTTTATTCCGGAACTTGTTTACAGACAAGTCTTCTAGTTGGTTTATTGTTCGCCCTTGGAGCTCCTACCCACCTACATCAGCACATCTTCTGGTTTACAAATAGGGTCATAATAGAAGCTGGAGATGCTTCAGAAAAATCCAGCGTTGCACACCCATAGACTTGACCACCAACCTATAAAAGCCTTAATTTAGATGTTTGTTGTGTACAATGGACAGATCCTTATAAAATGTGTCTATCAGTTGTAAATCTCTGACTCTGCTGTTACCTGAGGCTGCATCTCTTAAAGATGGGCATAAGCCTATTAAAATATTTATAATCATCATTCATGTCCTACTGCTAGATTTTTAGATACTTTCGAATAATTGCTGAGGTATGGGTGGGCTTAGCATCAGTTACTTTGGTCGTAGAATTTAGTTTTTTTTTTTTTAAAGAAACATTAAGTGTAAAACAGCATTATCAAGATGAGAGAATGAGTTCTGTTTTCATCACATTTCATCTAAAATAATTTGAAGATTTTTACCAACACTCATAAATTAATTCTAGATTGAATGAGCAGCTGATTTAATACAAACCAAAAAGAACATTAACTAGATGTGGTATTGTTTTTTTATGTGGGGATTTCATTTCCTATCTTGTTGGGTTTCATTTCTTGTGGAGTCATTTAGAGGGTTAACTTTCAACTCTAAGTAGTGGTGATGTTCAGGACTACTGGCTCCCTCAAAAGTCATTGGTGTGGTCAGTTTCTGTTATTACTCCGTGCATTGATTATAAAAATTCAGTATTAATTTTTTTCATCTCTGATTGATCTTTTAACTCGTAGAGGAGTGAGTTTTCTTTTCCCTTAAAGTATTTCACTTTATTATGTAAAACAAATGCATACTTGCATGTTGGAAGCAAGATGTTGAAATGAAGTTTAGCCACAAATGATCCATTAGTTCCAACACTGCTCGGTTGCCTTTATTCTTTGCTTCTGGTACTTGCCTGTTCATTGTCTTTCTGGCAGTGTGAGTGTTGTCACGTATGCTTGGTATATGCCTTTGCTACTTATGAAGTTCTCACAGTTTATTACTTGCCCAAGTGTTACTAAATCTTTTCTTACGTGTACCAGCTGGGGGGGGATTTATAACCAGCACTTTGAGAGGAACATTTTGGGAAGGGATATTTAACTGACACTACAAAGTGAAGGCAACAGAAGATGTTATCAATGTTCTTTGTAACCTGAAAACTGAACAAGGCTGTGAGGCTCATTTCAAAATATTTTGAAGTGTTAAAAACTATATATCTATGCTGTTTCTCAGTTGTTTCAAACAAACCATGTTAGGACTCTCGAAGGTAAAATGTCGCAGGGACTTTTCAGTTGTTACTGAGCTCAGCAGCTGTGGTGGCCCTGTTGTTCGACACCCATTTCAGTTCAATAAAAATGTTAACATTGCAATTCTGGTACTTGTTTTTCCTTTGTCTCATTTCAAGCCCTTAACTTTATCTTAAAAAAAAACCCCACCCCACACCAAAGTGTTCCCTGATGCCCTGATATAAGTGATCTTCCTGGGGCAGATAATAGTTTTTGGTGACTCTAGAAAGTGGGAGCAGGGTATCTGCTCCAGGACTCTGCCTGTTTTATAAGTGCAGGACATACCTTCCCCAGGCAACATCTCCGAGGGGGACAGTTATCATAGTTAGCATTTACTGAGGGATTCTTTTGCATGCATTGTTCCATTTCGTCTCACCACAACCCTGTTATGCCCATTTTATTGGCGAGTAAACTGAGGCCTAGAGAAATTAAGCAACTCATCCATTGCCCAGCTGATAAACAGTGGAGCCTACAAGCCTGCGCCCCACGTATGTGTTCTTAACCACTTCTCCATGATACCCCTCTTCCATTGGTACCTTTTAGAGTTAGAATAATCTTCACAAAGTGATTATTCTAAAAACATCAGACAGGCTAGACAAACTTTTGGTTCAAAGGAGACTAGAATGTGGAGTTTGGGGGTGATGTCTAGTGGATTCTCAGTAGGTTGATTTTATCAGAATTGATAAATTTGAAGGAAGGCCAATACTTTTTATAAAAAGGTATGTTTTAGTTATGAATGTGTTTAGTCTCAACAATGGGCTGTCTGAAGGAGATTAGGGCAGTGGAGGTAGAGAGGAGGCAGGAGCGCCGTCTTGGAATCACACCATGTTCTCTCTGTATTGAAAAGTCGTCTCCAGCCCCGGCCAGTTTGGCTCAGCGGTTGGAGCATCAGCCTGCGGACCAGTGAGTCCTGGGTTCGGTTTCCGCTAGGGGCACGTATCAAAAAAAAAAGGCTGTCTCCATAACAACAGACTAGCTCTAGGGTCCTGTCTGAATTAGACATAAAGACATTCTCCTGTCCAGGTCCTTAGCCTCCAGCTTCTATACCTTTTCTGAAAGGATAATGGTGGAGGGCAGGAAGACAGACTCAGTTAAGCATTGGCATTAGAAACCTGGAATGTTTCGTGCCAGCACTGACTCCGGTTAGGTTCACAAGGAGCCTCCCCCATAACATGACATTCCTAGTGTAATTGTGGTGGCAGCTCTCCCCCACCAGACACTTAACATGGTACTTGTTTTTTTCTTTTTATCCTCACCTGAGGACGTTTTTGCATTTATCTTGAGATAGAGCAGGAGGGAGAGAGGGTGGAAGAGAGAGAGAGAAACAGCGACATGGAAGAGACACATCGAGTGAACACCACCCACACGACCCCAACCGGAGTTGGGGACAAACTGCAACCGAGGTACGTGCCCTAAGCGGGAACCGAACCCAGGCCTCTCTGTTCCGCGGGCCCACGCTCTAACCGCTGAGCCAAACCGGCCAGGGCAACACGGTACTTGTCTTTTAACTCCTTTCCTCAGCTGTAACGTGAAAAGACACCTTCTTACTGGGTATGAAAGAATCTTAATTGTTGTTTACAAAGCACTTGGGTGTTCCGTGAAAAACAGCTATCTAAATTACATGCTGTCTGCTGAATGCACAGGGAGACTTTGTTTGGAGCATATTTTCCAGGTGACAATGGGCCCATTTTGACGGATTGCAAAAGGGACAAAGGCAGACAGAGGCCTGAGGTTTCCAGGTGGAGCGCCTGAGGTTTGTTTTATTGACTGCTAGGTTTTCACATACCTGCTCCACTGGTTTTGCCTTTCTGAGACTGGGACAAGAGGCTAGCAGTGGCAGTCGATGGCTCTGATATTTTATGATTGCATGATTGTCAAGTTGGGGTCAGATGATCCTGCGGTGTGTGACAGTGGAGATGTGTCGTTTACCACTGCTGCCTGCATAATTCACCCGGCCAGCCTGGCTGGTTTGTCTTCCTGTGATTAGACACTTGGTACACTGTGGGCATTTGTAGACCGATGATAAAAATTCCATATCTGTGTCTATGAAATGTAGGAGAGGGCCTCCTAAAGATGAGCTCACAGAATTAGCCACCGAGTTTGAGTTCCAAGGCTGGGACTTCCAGGGGAATGGCCCGCTGCCTTTCTACGCTCCGTGGGCTCCAGTGGCCTATAGAATTCCAGACGGGCAGCCCGGTCTGGCTTGCCAGGCTCACCTCCTGCTACACTCTGCACACGTCCCACAGGCCTGCGTGCAGGGCCTCCAGCACCCCTGCTCCTCCTATCCCAGGGCCTTCCTTAGTGCTCTGTCCCTTCTGCACCACCAGCTCTCCCCTCCAGGCCTTCCTCACTTGGCCAGTCCTCCTTACCTTAGATCTCTGAACACCCCTTCTCTCCAGGAAACCCTCCCTGAGCCCTCAGGCTAGTTCAGGTCACCCTGGTAGATGCTCTCTTTCATCCTCTCCTTTATGTCATTTATTACAGTTGTAACTAAGTGCCAATTGTATTATTACTAATTAAATAAGTTTCATGGGAGTAGATTCAGTCTTGCTCACTAGGGTGTCCCCAGCTCCAGGCCTAGTGCCTCGCATATAGAAGGTGCTCGGTAATAATTTACTGACGGAATGAATGAAGCAGGCTATTCATATATGTCGTATTTAAGATTAATGTGGCCACAGGGTTTGGATTACTAGAGTTTGCGGTGTCATTCATTGTGCCTTGCCACTTTCTCTTCCCGAAGTCATGATTTAGGAGTGGCACACTGACCAGGCTGTGGGGATCCCTCTGCCATGGTGAGCTCACTGGACGCCTTCGAAGGGACCGTCTCTTCCCAGCATGCATTCACCCTCTGGTCACCTCTGGAAAACCGGAATCTGTATTAGTCTACCATGGTTTGGAATATAAAATGGAATGGTTTAAAAAGTTATTTTTATTATAACATTCTGATTTCATTTACTAATTATTTTTCTCACTTCTCAATGGTATGGGAGAAGGCAGCAGTCTAAAGATACCGTTTTCCTATCTTCATTAAGGCATCTTCAGCCTGACCTTTTTTAAAAATTCAACATTGCTTCTATTGACATTTATTTTATGCCTAGCACTTCTGTAATCTCCCAAGCAGTATACATATAGAGGATAATCAAAGCAAATATATCAAAAGACTTCTGAATTTCTATAATGATAGAGCTAACGGAGCTTGTCAACAGTGTTAGAACAACGGCCTTCATTTCACAGATGATGAGATGAAGGTGTTTGAATGACAGCCCCCAGCAGAGCCAGAGGGACCCAAGGAGCTTACACACTCTTCCTAGAGAGGTACTGAGAATAGAACAGAGGGATTGCTCAAGTGCCAAACTAGATGTGCCACTCACGAGCAGTTCGGAGCACAGCCAATCAGAAGCCTGGCTTCGAGTCCAGGGTCTGCACCCCAAGCTACAGACTGTGGGCAAGTTTATAAAGCTCTCCAGCCTCAGTTTCCCACCCACGAATGGGACAGTGCCCATCTCGGGGTTGTGACAACATATATGTAGAGCGGTACATGGCACCTCGTAAGTTTTCTATATGTATTTTTATGGTTTATTTTATAATTATTTTTTTTCCATCTTTTATTTCTATTTGGACAGTGTTTAGCAATATATCTGATAAACAAGCAGCCAGCCAGAACTGAAAACTCTATTGGGTTAACTTAGATTTTGGTGTAATGGTGATGGAGCCATTGTATTAGACAAACACATCCTAGAATGTTTAAGAATCTCTGCTCCCAATTGCTCTACAAAATGAGCTTTCTCTGTGAATCTTTCCAAGTCCCACTTGAACAGCCCTGAACGGCACGGCTACCAGTAACTTGGTTATACAGTGCTGATGCATTCTGTCTAAACTTGAGCATGGTCTCTACTAATTCTTTTTTCCAGTTGTCTTCCTAGGGGAGTGTTTATACAAGAGGCTTGTTTTCTGAACGCTTACGTGCGTCTTGCCCCTAGTTACTAGAGGGGGTTGACACAGTTCATTCAGGTAAGACATTTTGGGGGAAAAGTCTGCCATGAACATGACTCTGCCTTGCGCCTGTAAGCTTTCCCCTCTCCTCTCAAGGATAGAGTTCATTTAAGTCAGCTCTGCCAAAGGAGTGCCAAGAGTTCTCCAGGGGTGTCATGGCCACTTGAGCTACAGAATTCTGCAGCTGGCACCAGCTCTAAAGGGACACTGGGGACTGCTGGCAGAGCCCCTGCCTGTCTATCCTTCCCCTCCCTGCCTCTTTCTCTGCCCCAGCTGACACGTTTTTATTGCTGTGGCAGCCAATTACCACCACCCCACCTGCTCCTCCTCACTGTCCTCGCCTGACTGAACTACTACGGCTCCTCCCTTCTGTTAAAGTGCACATCTCACCAATGTTCCTGTCTTTGGTTAAAGATGACTTGGCCCATAGATAGTGAGGAGGCCGGCTCAGAACCAGGGACCTACAAGCAAGACGTGACAAGTTTGGGAAGTAAAGTTGAAAATGCTTTGCAATCGAGAGGGCACAGAAGGGCACATGCAGTCCTACACCTGGGGCTCAGTCCCAGTTCTGAGACTTACCAACCCTTGACCCAGGGCAGTGTGTCTAAACCCCTGAATCTTTCTTCCACTATCTCCTATAAACTAGAACAATACCTGTATGCCATGGTTACGTGAAGATTAGAGGTGGTCGTATTCAACGAGAGGGACTGGGTGGGGCACTCACAAAGCAACACTGTATTCTCACACATGTCCCCACAAACCCACGTTGGTGGTTGTTTCTCTACCCTCAGCAATAAAATCTAGGCCAGGTCATACATTCATCCAGGACAACTGTAAGATGGTAAGTCCTGTGGTCAGTTTTAGCATAGGGCTCGTTTCAATAATGAAGACCCAAACTCTGAAATGCTGGTTGGTGGGGGATACATTGAACAGGATGAATGTGAAAGTTGCTCCACTCTACACTTCGGCCTGTTTTGGGCTGAAAGCTAAGGGCTTCTCGCCACCCTCCCACCACTCAGTGTCCCTAGGGCTGAAGGAGCAGAAGGTAGGG